TCAATGTCAATGTCAAGGACCGAACTCCCGCTCTATAGCCAGTCTTGCGTCTTGTCGAAGAGTTTTTGTTAAGTAGTTTGTATTCCAAGTTCTATTTGTATCTACCTATTAAATACCTACCAACCCTAAAGAAATACTCACTTATACCCAGTAACAAACATGATAACGTTACATAAATGAGACAATCTGATGTAATACGTAGAGGAAGATCACTGACATGTTTTTTTATTATTTGAACTTCATGTCATTTACTATTTTATCTCTAAACCATGTCGGAAATTGTTTGCGACATACATATCGTGTAATAAACTCATTAAACAACAAAGGACCTAGATTCGAACCCTGAAGCATTCCTAATTCGATATAAAATTGTTTATAACTGCATCTGTTGTTGTTCTTTATAATTTGATTGCTAAAATAAGTTATGTGAGCTAGTTAACCACGTACCTAGACACTAATAATTTTACGACTGATTGAAAAATCTTGACAATAGGCTATAAAAAGTGAAAAGTTCAACGACAGCGATAATTTGATACTTATACTTAATCCGTTCTGAATATATTCAAGAAGGTTAAAGTACTAGAGAAGGTGGCCATTCATGTGTTTATGTAAACTACACGGGAAGTGTATAGTAATATGGTGTACGTACAATTTAATAATGGATACTACTTCCGTTTTATCATCATTTACGACTTTATGATACATTCAAAGAGGATATTTATGCGAAAGGAGGTTGTATCGTCAGGAATTAAAATCAAGGTTGTAGCGAGGAAATAGTTTTGTTTTACATACATAAAACCTTATCCCTTCCTGAAGGGGAGAGGTCATATTATATACCTATATAGAGTCGAGTTGTCTCCCAAGATTCAAAATATTACTTAAAACTAAAAAGGTCATGTCAGAAATGCTATAAAACGTTATACAGTATGTCCCCCTAAGTTGGAATCATATGGAAAACTTTTTTATTATTAATTTTAGGGAAAAAATTTATTCTTCATAAAAAGTTCTGCATTTTCTAAAACCTAGTATACAGTCATCAAATATCAAATTTTTTCAGTGGTATACGAGGTTTGTCAAAATATGAGTTTTACTCAAGAGTAAAGCACCTTTAAATTTGACAATATCGAAAAATGTTACTAAAAAACGTTGATCAGAATTAAAAATTACGTTTAAATATGCAACAAATTATTTGTTTGTCAGTGCATCCTAGATTACATGTAACTACAGTTAAATTTGCATTATTGTAGACATACGTTTTAAAAATAATTTTATTAATGTAAATGGATGTAATTGCATATTTAAACGTAATTTTTAATTCTGATCAATTTTTTTTAGGTATATTTTTCGATATTGTCAAATTTAAAGGTGCTTTACTCATATTTTTTGACAAACCTCGTATACCACTGAAAAAATTTGATATTTGATGACTGTATTCTAGGTTTTAGATAATCCGGAACTTTTTATGAAGAATAACTTGTTTTCCTAAAATTATTAAAAAAAAGTTTTCCATATGATTCCAACTTAGGGGGACAATACTGTCTAACGTTGAAAAAAATATTAACAAATTAAAAAATGTGCCACCCTCAATCCATCGCTTTTTTATAAAATTATCTTTTAGAATTAGAATGAAAGTTCTATTAGAATTCATTTAGAGTTCAATTAGAGTTCAATTAGAGTTCGATTAGTGTTCAATTAAACTTCAATTTGAGTTTAATTTGAACTCAATTTGCGGTAAACTTGAGTTTAATTTGAACTCATTTTGCCCTTGATTTGAGTTTAATTTGAGTTCAATATGAGTTCAATTTAAGTTCATTTAATTTCAATTTGAATTCAATTTGAATTCAATTTAAGTTCATTTAAATTGAATTAGAGTTCAATTAGGGTTCGATCAGATTTTAATTAAAGGTCGATTAGAGTTCGATTAGTGTTCAATTAAACTTCAATTTGAGTTTTATTTTAAGTTTAATTTGAACTCAATTTGAGCTTTATTTGAGTTCAATTTGAGTTCATTATGAGTTCAATTTAAGTTCATTTAATTTCAATTTCAGTTCAATTTGAATTCAATTTAAGTTCATTTAAATTCAATTAGAGTTCAATTAGAGTTAAATTTGAGTTTATATTGAGTTCATATCGAATTCACTTAGAGTTCAATTTGAGTGTAATTAGAGTTCAATTAAAGTTCAATTAGAATTCAATTAGAGTTCAATACGAGTCAAATTATAGTTCAATGAGAGTTCAATTTGAATTTAATTAGAGTTCAATTATAGTTCAATTAAAGTTCAATTAGAATTTAACTAGAGTTTAATTAGAGTTCAATTAAACCGTACATTACTAAGACACCATATTTTCAACATCCGTTTATTACTAAAAACCCCTTAATTCGATGCAAAACAACCTCTCATATCTCCCATATGTTGACATGTTTTTTTTAGCACTAATTGATGCTAGTATGTCAAAGAATTGGATTTTCTTACAATTCTTAATATAGCCAAAGTATGATTTGAGAAGTTTTAGTAATAACCGATTCAATTAGAATCCAATTAAAATTCAATTAAAGTTCAATTAAAGTGCAATTAAAGTTCAATTAAAGTTCAATTAAAGTTCAATTAAAGTTCAATTAAAGTTCAATTAAAGTTCAATTAAAGTTCAATTAAAGTTCAATTAAAGTTCAATTAAAGTTCAATTAAAGTTCAATTAAAGTTCAATTAAAGTTCAATTAAAGTTCAATTAAAGTTCAATTAAAGTTCAATTAAAGTTCAATTAAAGTTCAATTAAAGTTCAATTAAAGTTTAATTAAAGTTCAATTAAAGTTCAATTAAAGTTCAATTAAAGTTCAATTAAAGTTCAATTAAAGTTCAATTAAAGTTCAATTAAAGTTCAACTAAAGTTCAATTAAAATATTATTATATATATTACATATATTAAAAAATATGACGTTTTAGTAATAACCGATTCAATTAGAATCCAATTAAAGTTCAATTAATGTTCGGTTAAAGTTTAATGAAAGTTCAATTAAAATTAACTAAAGTTAATTAAAGTTAATTAAAATTCAATTAAAGTTCAATTTAAATTCAAATTAAGTTCAATTTAAGTTCAATTTAAGTTCAATTTAAGTTCAATTTAAGTTCAATTTAAGTTCAATTTAAGTTCAATTTAAGTTCAATTTAAGTTCAAGATAAGTTCAATTTAAGTTCAATTAAAGTTCAATTTAAATTAAATTAAAGTTTAATTGAAGTTCAATTAAAATTTAATTAAGGTTCAATGATTGTTTAATTAAAGTTCAATTAAAGTTTAATTGAAGTTTAATTAAAGTTCAATGACAGTTCAATTAAAGTTCAATTAAAGTTCAATTAAAGTTCAATTAAAGTTCAATTAAAGTTCAATTAAAGTTCAATTAAAGTTCAATTAAAGTTCAATTAAAGTTAATTAAAGTTCAATTAAAGTTCAATTAAAGTTCAATTAAAGTTCAATTAAAGTTCAATTAAAGTTCAATTAAAGTTCAAATAAAGTTCAATTAAAGTTTAATTAAAGTTCAATTAGATAAGGAAGTATGGAGTCAGGATATTTACTGCACAGTTAAACTAATCTTTTTTAATGTATTTAAGAGCAATGGCCTGTAAACATTGTCAAACGTCTTGGATAAATCAGTATAAATTACATTAAACTCATGGATTCTAAACAGGTTATTAATTGGGAATTCAGTTGTTTTTCATTGAAATTTTGGGAGATTGACATAACATAATTTCAATGCAGTGATTAATCTTAATAAAATTAAAAAACACAAAGCAAACATCATGACGAATATTCTAGCAATGATTCAGATTTTGAAAGATCGAAAACGAACAAAAAAGCCACAAGTGCACAATAAGTATGACTTGAAATAATGCGTCGTATTAGTCAGAGCAATAAGTATTAAAAGAGTATCCCAATTATATGTTATTTTTAGGCTGTGTAAAGACACGGGGAAAGCCGCTTACTTCATCTCACCAGGATAGTCAACGAGATATACCAGGTTTGGTCATAAAGTTCCTTAATTAAATATATTGAAACCCAGCAAATTTTTGACTTTATTTTGAGACAGCTAGGTTTGAAAGTAAACGACAACGCATTAATTGAAATGTTTCTACAAATCCTCCATTTCTTTACAGAAACTCATCTAAAAAAAAAAACAGTATGTACAATCTAATCGAATCCTTAACATCCTGTCTATTAAATAAAAATGAAATTTACTGGATATCATGACGACAGAAAAGTAAATAATAAATAATTATTGTAAAATGAGAGTTTGAATAAATTAAATCTTCAAAATGGGCCAGCATCCTTCGAAGGATAAGTTGACTCGGTCCTCATCGGAAAGGATCGACAGGAAGGAGAGATATCCTAGCAGGAATGTTAAAAAAGGTAGAGTATTTAAAAAAAAGAAATGTATATCGTTTGATTAGTATGGAATTAATAAAAATATAAAAAAATATATTATAGAATGGTTCTATAATATATAATGCGTTCTATAAGAACTCAAAACGAAAAAGAAGCCACTTTTTATAGGAATAACTTGTTATTACATTTTTTTTTATACAGGGTGATTCATTAAGAATGGTCAATTTTTGGAAGGCAGCTAGTAAACACCAAAAATATGATGACAGCCCAAGATGCCTTATAAAAATGTTGCTGGTTTAAAAGATACAGGATGTTCAAGGGAAAAATTTTATTTTAAAATTTCTCATATTTTGGTGTTTAGTATCTGCAGTTCAGACATTACACATTCTTAATGAAATTTTGTTTAATTTATAATTATTAAGTTGACATAATTTTTATTCATAATTAGTGGCACAAATAAGATTTAACAACAGAAGAGTAGTAAACTTAAGTTTTGACTCACCCTGTACTTTATTGCAATTTTAAAAAAGCGATATATCTGCACAGAAATAAACTATTATCGAAAAGTTATGACTGCGAAAATTTGATCATACAATAAATAATACTGGTTTTTTTTGTTACAGGGTCTGCAAAAAAGCGGGCAGATGTGGTTCAAGTGACACAAGTGTTGACGGCAAACAAGTTACCGCCCAGGAGTCAACAGACCGCAGCGGAAAGTGAGTGAACTGTTTTTTTATTTAATATAGTCAATGAAGTTTTATTAAATATTTTCATTTGGTATTTAGATATAATAATGCTATAGATGTTATAGCTTTAGCTTTGTTAAATTTTTCAAGAGTTCTAAGCAATGTATAAATAAAATATCGAAGTTTTGTATATACAGGGTTGCCATATGATAACGTACTAGTCATTATCAGACACTGCAGCAACATTTAAAAAAACACACACAATTTTGTTAAAAAAATAGACAATACAAATATTTGAAAAAATTTAAGCTCTTATATACCGCACAGTACCGTTTTAGAGTCGCTTCTCACGATATGCGACCTTTTCAAGGCGTTCGACTGTGTATCGCACAAAGTCTTGAATACTATGGCATTAGATGTTTGCCTTTGAACCTATTAAAATCTTATTTAGTAAGAAGTCTGGAATTTGTGCACTAAGAAAATAATTAACCTAATTTTTCAAATGTCTGTTCTGGGGCCACTTTTGTTCATCATATACAGTCTTAGTTTCCTGTTAATAATTTGCAGTTAAATAATAATAATAATAATAATAATAATAATAATAATAATAATAAAACTAATTATTTCTAGTAACAATCAAGTTACAATGGGAAATCATTGCAAATTGCTTGGTATAACATTAGACGACTCTCTCATTTGGGTGTTTCATATATCGAAGACATAAATCAGATAATTTAGTATTCTTTTTCTACTTAGAAGACTTCAGATTTTAGTGAATCAAGAATGTATATTGGTAGTAGGTATTCTACTTTCACTGTTTATTTTTAGTGAAGAAAAAATATATACATGTAGGAAAAGGTTTAATCTCTGTTTCTATAGAACCACTTTTTTAAAATATTCGATTTTTAAAAAAAAAGGCAAACTTTCGACTATTTTAATGACTGCCATTTTTATTTCTTAAAAAAAAAACCATAAAATTTTAGAAAAGAGGTTCCAGTGAACACATATTTAACCTTTATTTACCCGTAAATAAGTATTTTTCTTTTGACAAATGTGAATTTATGACAAACATGTGAATACAAGACAAACGTGACAAACCTGGACATAAGACAAACCTGAACATAAAACAAATATGAATGCAAGTTTAATTATAATAAACTTAAACAAGTAAAAAATATAAATATAAAAAAGAAACAGAAAACGATTGTACTGAAACTTGAATCCACGACTCCTTGCTTCAGAAGTCAACGCCTTATCCACAAATCACATTGGCTAGACACTTTCGTTTGCGAGACGGTGTAATTATGCGAAAGCCAAAGTTCAACAATTTCATTTTATTCACACATATTTTCTGTAACACCTACAGAATGAATATGTAGTCATATAAGCAGGCATACGGCATACCCTAACTTTAGAGTACCCCACTTTGAACCGCTTAAGCCACGCCCCCTTTAAAAACTGCGCATGCGTGACAATAGCTATGAAGTTGGCTAACCTAACATATGTCAACTATCATTTGTCAACAGTGTTGCCAACCTAACCTAACGTATTTCAACTGTCATCTAACAACAGTGTCAGTCTACTGAACGGATATAATTTTATATCTATTCTAGAATGTATATGAAATCCATCAAATATCTAGTAGTCCGTTAACTAAATATTCTACGCCCACATGGATATATCATATCTATTCTACACACAGACAAGTATATGAAAAAGAAGTCGATTTTAAAAAATTGATGTAGAATACAAGCAGTGGCGGCTCGTGGGCACTAGCGGCAGTTTTTCCCCTAGGAAAACAAGTTCTCTGCTTAATGAAAATTAAATATATTTCAAAACAAATTAAATATTACAAAATTGAAGACTAACTGCTAGGTACCGCTGCAGTTGTATACTATTTCTTATAGTTGAAGTCCATTCTTCTGGATTTTTGGCTAGCGAAGTGATCGATGACCAGATTATTAAAATTTGGAATGGACCGAATCATAATAAATAAATTATTATCATGGTCCAACAAACGCGCACCTTAAGCCGAAACCGGCATCGCCTTTGTGAGGGATCCGGTAAAGATGCCGGCTGCGTACATTCGTATCTGGTCTAGGTAATCTATGCCATGGGTACAGCACGTCACAATGAGGACGGCGCCCCGCTTGTGACGTATAATCCATCGTATGTGTTCATCTCTTGCTAAGCGATATTGTCGTTGTCCTTGTTTTTCGCATCACAATGAAAGAGAAAACAACAGAGGCACACATTTACTGTGCCCCGTGCCCATCTTCCACTTAATTTCTGAATTCTCGGAACGTCGCTCAACGCCCGGTCGTCCAGTGTCGTGCCAACGCGGTTTGCGCTGAATATTATATAAAATAATAAAAGGCATTGAGGAAAATATAAAATATGTAAGTTTTTTTTTTTTGGTTTATTATACTAGGGCACGTGCCTAAGGGCCCTTACGGGCAAACCGCCACTGAATATAAGATCCTTTGTAAGAGAATTATTGAGACGAACTTGAGCTAATGTACGAATAAATTGAATACCCAGTTATCTGAAGCTCTAACTCCAATTTAAAGAGACAAGATCATGGCGATATTTTGAGACATGATTGTAGTGTCATGTTGGTAATCTTTGATTAAGATATAGATAGACACCCTTCTACATCTACGCCTCTGACAATCACGTCCAACAACGAGCTCATTGTCCATGTCCATTGTCTCCGTGGTTACCTTCTTCTTCTCCTCCTCGAAGAAGTACCGGTTGCCACGGTTAAGTTAGGTTAACCAGATGTGACCCCCATCCCATGCAAAGCAGAGAGAGAAACGGAAACGACGACGTACCTAATGTAATTTTTAATGCGCGACTCGTTGCCACAGTACCATCGCCGCATCCAAACAGGTTTCGTACAGTGTTGCCAGGTCCAACATTTTTATTTCCCTAGTTAATTCCTCAAAAATTCCCCAGATCTTTTAATTTGGAAATGAAGGAAAAAGATATTTGAATATAAAACATATTCCTATTTATTAATAATATTTTTGCTTCGAATAAAAATCAAGTTCTTTTTATTCAACAAATACAAGATAAAATACATTTTAAAAAACTTATAAGACATATTTGAATTTGGATTAAAAATACATCTAATAAAAAAAAAATTATAAAAATTAACGCAGAATATAATATATCGATACTAATTTTTGGTATTAATTGTAAATTTGATTGTTTAATAGTCACTAAGTCTGTATCAATTTTGAAATCGAAACAGTTGCCACAGAACACTCACTCTAACAGATGATGTTTTGCTAAATTTTTAGTATCTGGGGATCTGGGGATTTACTTATATTTTAGGAGTAAGATTTATAATAAATTCTGAGATTCTAAACTGCTAATTGTAAATCAGATTAGGATAGATAACGTTTTTCCCAAGGGTGAATCGTTTTCTAATAATTTATTAATTAATTGTTTAATATAGTTTTTACAAATATAATAAATTCCCTAAATTATAGAAAATTTCCTTATTTCCCTACTGAGTGCAGATTTTCCCCAGATTTAGAGAAATTTCCCTATCGATGGCAACACTGGTTTCGTAATGGCGCGATCTCAGCGGTACTCTTCGCCGCGGGTACTTGTAGTGGTACCGCTCGCAGGTGGTTTCCACCTGTGCGAAGAGTTCAAGTAGGTAGTTAAGTCAGTCCATCGTAAAGTTTATCTTCTAGGAGATAAACAATGCGTGGTAAACATGTTGCGTTTGTTTAAGTAGGATCGTTCATGAATATTTTCTTATTTTGATATTCTTTTATGGTAGGTATATAACTTTATCAAAGTTATTTGTAGAAGTACCGTTTACGAGGTACATTCAAAGTTTCTTCATGTCCTATTTAAGCCTATTTAGGTACTTTCAATCAGTGACGGATTTAGAGAGCTTCTAGAGCTTTCCTAATTAATGAAAAAGTTACATTTTGTGTAAATTGATTTTCTAACTATTTACAAATGTTTTGAAATTCTTTGAACATTTACAATTTCTGTAGGAACTGCTTTTAGGATTTTAAAAAGATGACTAAATTAAATCTCATTCCTACTTAGTTATAATGACAATTTGAAGTTGCGGAGGCGCTTCCATACTATCGTATAAGAAACCTAACAACTTATAAAACATATACTTACATACCTAGCTATACTTATATTGATACACATTGTGACAATACCCAAAATCAATACAAAAAGTGCTGTATCATTTCTTAATATTCTCGACTTTTTAACAATTTAGCAACAACGCTTTCTCTGCAATACAAACATGAAATCAACATTTTCTACGTTTTTAAAATATTAACACATTTATCTCATTGATTTAAACAAAAAACCATTAAAAATCCATTCAATCCGAATACCTAAATCAAATAATTAAAAACATCCGTATTCAACAAAAAAAATATAAATTGCTTGCGGCTAATTTGTCTTTTCAAATCCATGCACGACTCACGACCATAGTGGTTTCCCAAGTTCAATTCCAAATCATATTCTAAATTCCAAATGCGGTTGAAACGGTGCCAAATGCATGCAACCCGTTATACTGCAGAGCGAATTGTGTGTTGCATAAGTAATAGATCGTTCGCCTGGCTTTTAGTAGGTCTCTTGTGCCAGGTCAGGAGCGAGCGGTCGTTGCTTTTTTACGTATTTATCTATTTGGCAAACTAGAAATAATAAATGCTGTCTAGACTGAATACAGAGTTGAAAGAAAGAATAAATAGTTAATGATGATTGATTTTTTAGATGTCCACAATGAATGAATGGATAAAAATGATTCCTTTGTGTTTTTAAGAACATAAAAAGTAAGATATTTTAGTGTGGAAAAAAAATTTTTGGATTAAACTTCGTGTCTGGTGTTTCAGTTTTTCATATAAGAGGAAAACTTTTTTTAATTAACAATATTTCCAAAGCAAGAGTAGAGCTAAATTTACATTTAAATCCATATCAAATAATTAAATAGGTTTTAATCTTGAAATAATAAAATTCTTTCCAAATTAGCTCCTATAAGGTTAAGAATTTCTTTTTATATTAAGTACCTGCTTATAATAATAATAACAATACTACTACAAAATAACTAATAATAATTAAAAAAAAAAAAAATACAGCAATTTAATATCACACTATTACTTAAACCGTATTTAAACATGAAGATATCAACTAAGAAATTTCTATTAAGTGAGCTTCTAGTTTTTTTTTAAAAGAGGTCAGTCCTTATGTTCTATATGGTGCTAGGAAGCTTACTGTATTGTCTTAGACCCACATAGCACACGGACCTTATGGACGTCTAAAAGACGTCCTTCAAGGACATAAAGGACGTCCGAGGGACGTCCTCTTTTGGTACCGGGACGTCAATCGGACGTCCTAATGTCCCGTTTCTGTCCATCTTAGGGACGTCCCTGGGACATCCCAAAAGGACGTCATAGGACCTTTGCAGGACGTCCTAGGGACGTAAATCAGACGTCCGAGGGATGATATTTGACCACAATCCATAAAGGGTAATAATAACAAAAATGTTAACAATAAAAGAGCTTTATTTAACAACTTTTATCCTGAAAAAACTAACTAAAGTTAAACGTTTTCAGTTTACAAGAAAAGGAATGAATTAAATTTGACACAGCGCTGGTAAGATGAAACCATGGGTCCTACTTATAGCCTGTGTCGACATAACGGAGTTTTATAATTTTATCCAAATTAGTTTTTTCCAACTTTCCGCCATTAAGGTATTTTCTTTCCGCCAGCGCCTACCGCCAAACATTCACTTCACTTTATAACCACTTTACCACCAATATTAAAAAAATAACAAATAACACTATATAACCTTCTTTTTTCTTCGTTAATCTAACTCACTTATATAAGTTAATTATTGAATGCCGAAAATTGTAGCTGTTGTTCATTTGAAAATAAATGATAGGTTAGGGTTTCTGTCCTTATACTCTTGCAAAAACAAAACGTTGAATTTCAAGTTATCGATTGAAAGACCAACGATGCTAGTACATAGAAAGTCCCATTAACGTCCCGGACTCGGACCGAAAACTAAACGCTTTGTCGAAACGAGACCAAAATAGGACGTCTAGAGGACGTCCTGCGAAGGACGTCCTAGCCTTCACTGTAATCGGAAGTCCAGTGGACGTCCCATTTAGGTCCGGGACCAACCGGACCAATCAGAGACTAAATCAGGACGTCCATGGGACGTCATGTGCTATCTGGGGACCATCAGATAGTATGCTTCGGTCACTAAAACATGTTCTAACGAGTGTAGTTCTGAAGCAGCAATTATTCCGAGTATTATATCTATGGATATCATAGGAAGTAGTCAGTTGTATGGATGAGTGTATATTATTCAGAGATAAGTTATGAATAAAAATGCATGTCTGATATTTAGAAAGGGACTGAATGTCTAGAATATTATTTGGACGATACAAAAGATCAGTAGGATGACAAAAACGAAGTTGAAAAGCTTTTCTGATAGATTGTCATAGCAGCAATAATATCACTGGTAGGAACAGGCTCATCTATACTGATCGCAGATAAGCACTACTTACCCCTGACAAACTACGAATTTACTCAGGTTTAGTACTAGAATGTCACGAAGCTGTCAAGAAGGCAGCCAACCAAATACTTTTTGAACCTGGCTCTTCTATTGGACTTACATATGTAATGACAGACCTAATTAAAGAACATTCCCTTGTGAAATTCAAGGAAAGATAGGATGAAACTAGAAACTGCAGAGTTGCCAGGGAGATTTTAAGTTATCCTGACAACACTACAGCAAATAAATACTTCACTATGACTAGACAGAATCAGCGCCTGATCACAGGTACTCGGACTGGTCATTGCCAAGTACCGAAGCATCTGCATATAATAGAGCTGTCATAATCCGCACCCTGCAGGGCGTGCGAACAAGAAGATGAGACCATTAATCATATCCTCTATGATTGCCTGACGCTCTTATTAGAAGATTTGTTTTCGGCGAGTATTGACTAACACCGGCCGAATAAGAGAAGCATCTCTTGGCGACGTTGTCACCTACATTAAATCTGTAGACGGCACTGATCTGTATTATTTTACTGGATAGGATATAGCCCCCTAAAAAACGTTCCGAAAAATTGGCCGATTTGGGCAAATAATATGGCGAACCGGATGTTATTTAACGTAACTTCTATTTCCATTTGTCATAACATTTGTCATTTAATTGTGTCAACAAGCTACGATGAGATGTTTTTATTGTGGAAAACAAAGTAAAAAGAGTATGAAATAAACAATAAACGTTTCATTCCTGACGACACAATATGCTTTAAGTTTCCATTTTTATATTTTTTTTTCATAAAAAATCAAATCGTGGGTGAAATTTCCCGAAGGACATCGCCCGCAAAAGGAATAAAAGAAGAAAAACTAATCAAATTATAGGTTACGTATGTCAAATTATCCAAAATTTCAGTTCTGTGAACCCACCATAATTTGCCCAAATCGGCCAGCATTGTTGCACTTCCAGTCTCCTTGGTGGAATGATTTTTTAGTATGTTAAATATAGCCTATATCCTATCCAGTAAAATAATACAGATCAGTGGTAGACGGGCTCACGTGCTAGGAGGTGCCTATTATCTTAGGAGGATACACAAAGACTCTAGTGAGGTCTAAGTGCATTAGGTAACCCACTTCCACACGCTACATATCTAGAATTATTGTAGGTAGCTGCATGCATTTCGATTACATCCTGATAACAGTGACTTGGTTTCTCGGAATGAGCTTGTCATATATTTTAATTATTGTTTTATATTATTGTTTATTTACTGTTTTAATTCGAATGGTTTAAAAAAGAAAAAAAACACATTTTAAATAAAAGACTAAAATTATCATTATAGGTAATACTGATTTAGAAATTATAAAGATAAAACATTTACAGCCAGATGCAAAAACGTTAATAAAAATTTACGAAATCCCAAAACTATCTAATTATTAATTACTACTTAGTTAAATACAACTACTTAACTATACTGCAGTTTTCTCAAAACGCTAATAATAATATACCAAACGTTGCTCTACATAAATTGACAGCTTATATTTGACGTTAAACCACCTCTAAAACACTGAGAAAACTTGGCAGTTTTTTGTCCACGAATTGCCCATTTAGTTTCGCTTCTTGGGTAGGTATTCTTTGCTTGTACCAAAAATTATTTTTTCGAGATAGGAAACAAGCCTTTGATTAATACATTTTTCCAGGACTTTGAAGATAGAACTTAATAGAGATATCGGTCGGTAGTTATTAGTGGACTTAAGATAACCGACATCTCGTTTTTGAAATGTTTGATTAAGTCCCCAGAGATACCATCAGCACCACAGGCTTTTCTCAATTTTAACTCTGAAATTACTTTGTTGATTTCTTAAGGGGTAGTTAACTCCCATTGATATAGTTGTTGAAGGTTTATAACTGTAGATTTCGTGTAAGTAGACTCCGGTATATTTTCTGCTAAGGCTTTACCTATTTCTGTAAAATGGGTGTTAAGAATATCTGCTATTTTCTTAAGAACTTCTATAGAGTCATCTTCTATTTGCAGTTTATTTACTGTGTTTTGTTGCTTTGATATTTTATTATAAATTAACAAGTTTAACACTGACTATTTTTTTTTATTACCTAGGGCTAGGATTGTGATAATATTGTTTTTTTTGCATTAGATATAGCTGCTTTCAAGATAGTTTGACTGTGTTAAGCTAAAAATTTCTCTTTTGGGCTCAAAATGTTATTAAATACATTGAAATCTTTAATTCACACATATAACTAAATAAATGCCTTTCGACAACTGGTTCCTGAGAATTTGAAGTTAGGGATATAATAGGAGGACTATTTCGACAAATTAGTTTTCATGAATGGAGCAATAAATCTTAAAGATCCCTACTTCTGGTTGGAACACCAGGGGATTCGGTTAAACTTCTGGTACTTGGGGATAGCGTGCTCATCAGCTCTGATATTTAAACCTCTTAGCTATAAATAGGCCGATGTTTTATTTATGCAAATATAATAGAAACCATTTTGTTTCCAGATAAGAAGAACACCACTCTAAATTCTTCTCCCACAGATGCTAAAGTCAAGAGGACGCTGTTTCCGCCAAAAGAAAAGAAACCAACAGCAATCAAAGGTGAGTGTTTCTTTACGCAAACACAATGCCTCCCATAATAAATCTTTCGGTTTTTCATGTTTCTTGACAGAATAAATAATACGTAGAACTTCTAATACAATGGGAAAATGAATTGGTACGAATTCTGTGTAGGATTGAATCGTTTCGTAATAGTTGTAGGTAAATTGAAATAAAGAATTAGTTAATAGAACAATAGGATGGTGAAAACGAGAAATTTTTATCATTTTAATTAATCGGGTAATGTACCCATGAATTGTTTTTTGCTTACTGTGCATTTTACTAAATTTTCAAACATTTTTTTTTTCAAAGTCTGCCTTGAGTTCTAATCAGATATTTTAAATGCTGAAAATCGCAAATTACTAACTCTAGTGGTTCTTGTTTGCAAATTATTTAATTTAAAGTAAATTTTTTTTCATTTTTTTGGCAATATTTTTGTGTTTTATACCTGGAACGACATTATGGTATCACGTACCATCACATACCAAGGTGTGTTTAATATTTTATTCTAAAAATGTATTATATTTTTGTGATATTTACGAACACCCTAGAACTAAGGACATAATTCATAAGGACTTCAGTACTTGTTTGTATATTAATAATGTTGGATTGAATGTTTTGAAATTTCCTCGGAAATTTCATACATTTTGTTGGACACTTTTTGATATAAGTAATCATATGAGATTGTCCTCCTTTTCTCTACACTCCATAAAATAATAAAAAAGAAGAGGTGTACAAAGGTATTTTTGGAGAAGATAAAAAATTGCACGGTGTGTTATTTAATTTAATTACGACACGAGAATATATATGGGCAATTAATTAGTTATTGTTTTATTTCATGCCAAGACATCGGACATCCGATATATAATAATATAACAATTTTAAAGGAAGGAAATAAATGGATAATTAAATACACGCATTTATATGCATTTTGAACTTCATTTATTTAGTATTGAACGCTAATTAACAGCAATTATTTTAGAAAAAAAGAAATATCCACACGGTAATAATTTCCTCACTACAGGATTATCATTAAATTAAAACACTGTTCTAATTGGTTTGGAAATCGTTTCGGTTTTGTTTCTAATTGAGTAGAAATTATGTCTATCGTCTAATAACAAATGTAAATTTTATTAAACGTTTAACAGCAAAATTTCTCTAATTATTATTAAAAAATAATAACGTATATTTTGATTTAAAAGTGTAAAAGTGATGAGATATATGATACATTTTGTTACATTGTTTTACACTTTCTCTGCTGAGCTGTATATTTAAAATACGGGGATGATAGATAAATTTTTATGCTTATTATTTGACGACGACTTCTGAAAAGCAAATTTTACTTCATTTTGCCAAAATATGTTGTAATAAAGTTGTAAAGAGTGCCATTAATCAAAGCATCTCTCGAAGGCAACAAAAATAATTTCTCCATAATTTTTAATAACATTTTCGCCATCATGTATACCTAATCAGAATATAAACATTTAATAAACCTAATAAAATCCTCTTACTTCTTGTTTACCACGATTTGCATACAAATACTAGAGCCAAGCCAAGAAACGGAAGAATACACGTTAAGTGACTGTTATACGAACTCTAATACGGTTAGCATTATAGCATTATAGCGTTATCTAACTTCCCATTGTTGCTTCATAAATGTAACACTTTGTATACGATAACATCTTCGCGGGAATTAGGTAATGACTTATTTTAGACAATGCAAACGGCGTAGGTACCATTTGTTGTTTTATTTTTATGTAATTGAATTAACGTGGGATACGTAAAAGTTGGAAATATCTTAGTTGGGTAATTAGGATATTTGAATAATTAAAATTGAATTTTTTGTATTAGTTTGTGAATATTAGGAAGGCTATAACAAGACTATATACCTGTACGTAGATACTATAAAAGCTTTGTAAACAAGTCCAGTCAATTTTTGATATCATATTATATATAACTAGGTTCTTTTTGTTGTCAAGTATTTTTATTAGTGCCTAATGGGCATAACAATTCATTTGTACCTAATATTGTCAATTATTGTTTTTATGGAATGCTCTAATACTCTATTGTATAGTATTATTTTTTATGTACATAATATTATTATCCTTGAAAATTGAGTCAAAAACTGAAGTAAAAAGTAAACTTTTGGTCACTGACATGTAATATTCGGTAAGAGTGCGATGACCCATCAGTTTTACGCAACAATTCCACTTCACGTTTTTTTCTCTCCAGTTTTAACAGCTAAAGATTTGCAGATTACTTTATTAGGTACGTTTTAAAAACGGAGATTGCTAGATTAGAGTACCCTTCACCTAATGGTTTGATAAAATCTTAAAATGTAGTTTCACATTTTAAATAAAAATTGTAGAATTACTTTATGTTTTATTTTCATTTCGAAATTAAACTGTAGCAAATTTTTCTCCACCTCTTTATTATATGTAGGTACAGTTTAGGTACTAAACAGTTTAGGTACTAAACAAAATAAACTATTGATTGTGGTCAATTTTATTTAAGTTATTAACCAACCTTGTAAATAGGATTTAGTGAAAATCTGATTTGTTTATACAAAAGAAACTTTCGATTTTTTCTGGTTTTATGATAGCTTCAACAAAGCATGAAAAATGTTTGATTACTCTTAAAAACATCTACTGAATTATGCATAAGGGACATTAGAAGGCTTTTTTATAGAAATTTTAATTGAAATCATTTAAAAAAGAGTAAGGGGATTTTTTTATGAATCTACGCAAGAGAATTTACTATACAATACTATAATATTATGACTATTGATAATAATTATAAGAAATCTAAATGTACCTAAATTGCAATATGCATCAGGAAAGTAAAATTAACCATCTGACACTCTTCATAGCGTTAAGAAATCTTTGTAAAAAGTGAAACGTCAAAAATTATTCCGATTCACGCATGGATGGTGGAAAGATGACCCAAATCATGACATTTGCATTTTAAGTAGGTGAAAATAGTGAGGGAAACGTTATTTTTTCTTCTGTACACCTCGTCAAATTAACAACTCGTTTTAATACACATAGGCAATGTTCCTGTTGATTTTTATTTTATACAGTGTGATTTCAAACTATGGAATTAAATGAGAGTCACTAACAAAGTAAACTGTTAACTATTAATATGCGGCAGTTTCAATTTTGGATTTTGCTCGTACTTTATGTAACTGGAGGAAGTCTTATGTCTGGTATATACAAGGTATTCAACAATATCCATAACAATTCTTTTATTTTAATAATTAATTATTGAAGAGGAAATCAATGATACAATCTGGTTATATTTATACAGAATCTAATGGTTTTAGAAGTGACATAAATTTTTCAACTTTAATATGACAATTCAACAATACTTTTCAAATCCAAATGCGAATCATTCTCACTAAATGTACAATCACGCCCTTAGCATCTTAATAATTATCCAACAAACGCACAAGTTTTTGGAACCCCACGAAATGTGTTTAAACCTAATTTGATTCCACAGAATCAATTTTCAAAACTCCAATCAATGTCAACCACTTCGAGAAAACAGTCAATGTATAATAATAGTAAAAGAACTATAATATATAATAATAGGTCTAATAATGTTTTTCAAAATAATAAAACCTTAATTTTATATCTGAAGAACTATTTGTGAATGATTACCGTGAAAACCAAATAGAAGCAGATTATTATGATAATTTATTTTTACAGTTTAAGCAAGATGATCAATTTGAAAATAATGTTATTTCTTTTAATCCTGAAGGAAACCCAGTAATAGAAATAAATATAACTTTTAATAACCCTTTGCCGTATATTGAAATTTCTTAACCAGCTCTAAAAATATTAGTTGATACCGGTAGCACATAATCTATTTTAAAGCCCACAATAGCAGAATAATTGTATCCAAGTAGGTAGTATTTATCTTTCAAATGTATCATTTTCAAGCTCTTTGGACACTAAAAATATCAAATATCATGCAGAAATACCAGCTTTCGAGGAATATAATAATATACATATGTTGACTTTTATTATTTATTACTTCCACGAATTTTAGGATGGAGTGATAGGTATTAATGACCTTATTCCAATTAACTTTATTATAGATTTAACTAATAAGTAATTAATTAGTGATCGCTTAACGATTTCAATAAAAAAGGTAAGTTGAAGTATGATTTAAAAACTGTAGAAATGGTAATTTAGACGATATCAATGAAATAATAAAAGAAACCCCTAAAATAAAAATATTACAAAATATTCAAATATTTTAGGCACTTGAGAGACATCACAAACTGGTGTGAAACTGGTGTAAATCGTTGCAAGAAACGAATGATGACTCAGAGTATACGATACGATAGTTACAGACGCGTTACACTAGAAAGCAGCACTTAACGAGGCGTTTTAGCCACTAATTTCGGCGAATTTTAAAAAAACATTAACAAGAGATTAAGAGCTTAAATTTGGGGATTATATTAAGAATAGTGCTGTTGAGGAATGCATTTATTTTCATTATGATATTTCAAAATTTAAAGCCCTTTGATTTTTTTCTCGGAAACTGGAAGAAACTGAAAATTTTAAATATATGCATATTCTAGATAATATTGCCATATATATTTTTCCAAAATTTTAATTATTTAAAAAAATTATTTTTTGAGATATCCTTCTCCGAAAATTATGAGTGGGTGCTGTAATCATCTTAAGCTAGAATGGTTGACCTGTAGTTCTATCATATCTATTCGTTAGTTTGGTATCTTATAAGCCTGCATTTTAAATAATGTTCAACTCATTGATAAGCTACTTTAATTCTGATAATTTTATTTGGTATCTATATAATTTTATATCACAAAAAATGAATTGCTTGGCAAACCTGTAATACTTTTTAAAAATATTCTAGGGTTTAATACAGTATTCCCTAAGAATTATATAAAACTGAGATAAAATACAGTGTTCCGTTTAACAAATATAAATAATAAATATAGATAATAACTTTCCAAGCAAAAGCGTAACACAGTGTATATCCAAAACTATTTTTATATTATGTGCGTTTCAAATCCATATAACTTTTATTAAAGACTGTGTTTACGTGTCTATACCACAAAATGAAATATCGAGCAATTAGATACATCATTTAATTGGAACCTGTTAAAGCCTTGCTATATTAAATTCACAAACATAATATCAAAACCAAATTCATAATGCACTAACTTAAGAACGTTTTCACATGCCTACGGGGTTATAAAGACAATTCACCGCATAGCGGCTTGTCTATATTCATCGAAGCATACATATTCAAATGACTTAAAAAACGTGATAATCATGGGGGAAAGAACTATCATATCGTTAATAAACGTCATGGGCAGCGAATTAAATGAACCTAGAAATGGTCTGGTAATATTCTACATAGAATTTCTAATTTAATATTTTTTTTTAAATTCTAAAGTTTAATTCCTACTTCTGTATATATATAAAACATTTCCTTTTGTTTTGTCTTTATTCAATTACTATTATGATAACTTATCGACGGTATTTACTATACGCCAATCTAACTATAGAAAGCCCCATCACCTCTCTCCTGTAACGAAGAAAGTTTCGCACTCCTACCTGCCGATCACCGCTCGATTTGATAACGAGACACAGTCTAATGAAAACGTTGCTCATAAACCAATCGCGTTCTATCACAACACAATTTTCATACTCCAGTGATTTTATACTTAAAAAAATTACTTTCATAAAATCACTTCTTTATATTAGTTAATAAATAGAAAAAAAAACTTTAGTGCTTGCACAAAAAGAAATTCGCGAGTGTACCTCAAGGTTAAGTTCATGGGCCCTTTGGAGAGGTTGTCGTCGTTTTTTAGCTCCAGTGTGGTCGATGTAAATAACAACAAAATGGTGGTGAGGGGAAAGCGGAGCAAGTACGGTAGTGATTTTGATATTTTCGGCACGGAGAGAATAAAGGCCAAGACTTATATTTGGGCTACTCTTAAAGCACAGAAGAAAAATAAAGGTATGTGAGTGATATTTACAGGGAAAATATTGTAAATGTTAAAATGTGTGGAAACAACTTATGGTATAACATTATTTTTAGCCTTATTTTAGAATTTTATAAAAAATGCTG